GTGGTACTCACCAAGCATGGCTGTATTGGGATAGGTGCTCCCGAATGCTTTCGGAAGGTCAGAAACACCTGGAGTCAGCTCCTTTCCCAGCTCTCACCTCTACCTACTACCGTCTACCACCCCACCGTCCACCCAAAAGACAAGATCCTTCTTCTGGCAGCAGCCAGAGTACTCATTTTCCACCTAGGGCGGGTCACAGCCCTACTCAAAGACCTCCAACCACATCCCTTTACTCAGACTTCACACTCCCCCATGCTCCCCACCCTCTTGACCCCTCAGATTTATCCCTTTACCCACCCACCCTCTAATCCAGCCCTTGGCCTCCGAGAGCACCTGCCGGCGCTGCCCCAGGGCCTCTGTGCTGCTGTGCCGCCTTGCTCAAGCCCCACGCTGTTCAGGTCTCCTGCTCAATCGTCTGCTCCTCAGCAGCCCCTCCTGGCCTGCGTTACCCACCCCTCCAGCCACTGTGCCCACAGGCACTCACGATTTTTCTCCTAGGAAGTCGTACTGGCATTACACTGTCTAACACTTCCTTTTCTTACTTGTTTATTTATTTTTTTAATTAATTAATTTACTTTTGAGGCGGAATCTTGCTCTGTCGCCCAGGCTGGAGTGCAGTGGCATGACCTTGGCTCACTGCAACCTCTGCTGCCCAGGTTCAAGCGATTCTCCTGCTCCAGCCTCCTGGGTAGCTGGGACTAGATAAGGGATTTCACCGTGTTAACCAGGATGGTCTCCATCTCCTGACCTCGTGATCTGCCCACCTTGGCCTCCCAAAGTGCTGGGATTATAAACACTTCCTTTTATTATTGCTTTGTCTCCCAGGAGAGCGGAGGCCCTGGGGAGGCAGGGGAGTCTTCCTTGTTGAGAAATCTATGCCCAGTGTCCAGATGTCTGGGGAGGGACCTTTGGCTCTCGACTGCTGCCCTGCACCCAGGAGCTCCTTGGATCTCAGTTGGGTGCTGAAATTGGCATTTGGAGGTATGGAACATCTGAGTAGTTGTGATTTGGGGCAAGCCTCTGCCATGAGGCAGAGGGCCCCTTGGAGGGGTACAGGAGTGTGGAATTAGCTCAGTGAGGGGCAGCCAAAGGCTGTGTCAAAATCCCCCTGGGGTTCCCCACCCCAGCAGCCTCCTTGGCTGGCGGGTGGCAGGAAGCCACGCTTCTCCAGTCATCCTGAAGCTCCCGAGTCCTCAAGTCCCACAAGTGATTCAAGGACTGAAGCAAAGGTCAGCCGGGCGCGGGGTCTGGGTGCCTCTCTTCTCCGGGAAGGGAGCCTGCCTGGTACCCAAGGACTGTAGGTGGGGGCTGGATGGCCTGAGCTCCCTTCTTTCCTGGGGTGCAGGCAACCACAGGGCACAACCTGCAGTCCCTGGGGTTGGGTAGGGAGTCCAGGAATAGCCAAGGGGCAGCTTTGATGTCATGGGCTCAGTCCCCAGGGTGCACGAGGAGGTGAAGGTTCCATGGCAGGACATCTGTGTGGTGACTTCAGGGGTGACGACTCGGGGTGGAGGCCGGGCAGGACAACAGGAGGTGGGAAGCAGGAGAACTCCGAGATGGGGAAGCAGGAGCCCCAGGGACGGGACACTCAGGGAGCAGTGACCGTCCCTAGCAGCAGCAGGGCCCCGGCTAGAAGAGGCAGGGACTCGGGGACCGCAGAGCGCCCAGGGTGTGCGGTGTCGGTGGTGCCGGCGGGGGGCGCCAG